TCCGGAAAGTGGAAACTGGTTCACAACTTTTCTCCTTCATTCATCAAACCACCTCACTCCTTCCTTCCCCTCCGCCTCCTCACTTCAGACTATACCGCTTAGCTGAAGGAGGGGAAGCAAAATTAAAATTTTAAATAAATATATAATAAAATGTGCCCTACGAAGCAGAAGCACCGGCCCTTCGCATTCGAAACGGCCGGAAAATGCTCCAGATCTACCTCCACACCATCTTTAAAGATCCCCGATTGGATCTCCGAGTCTATCAATGGCGGATCCTTGCGGTGCGTCGATCTCCACACCGGCACCAATGGCTGGGCCTCGCCTCCGGGAGAGATGTTCTCTCTTCGCTCCAAAAATTACTTCACTAAACGGCAGAAGTCTCCGTCCGGAGAGCACCTACTCGCTCCCGTTGGCATGGATTGGATCAGGTCGAATGGAAAACTAGACAATGTACTCGGTCGAGCTGATAATCGCGTGGCTCAAGCCCTTAGAAAGGCGCAGTCGGACGGAAAGTCTCTGAAAAGCTTTGTATTCGCCGTTAATCTTCAGATTCCGGGGAAAGACTACCATAGCGCCGTGTTTTATTACGCTGCGGAAGATCCTATTCCGTCCGGTTCGTTGCTTCACCGATTTATCAACGGCGACGACGCGTTTAGGAATCATCGGTTCAAGATCGTTAACAGGATCGTGAAAGGACCGTGGGTCGTGAAGAAAGCCGTTGGGAGTTACAGTGCGTGTTTGTTAGGCAAAGCTTTGACGTGTAATTATCACATAGGAGCCAATTATCTCGAAATCGATGTCGATATTGCTAGCTCGGCGATCGCCACAGCGATTTTGCACCTCGCATTGGGATACGTAACCAGCGTAACCGTCGATTTGGGCTTTTTGGTGGAGGCGCAAGCCGAGGATGAGTTGCCAGAGAGGTTAATCGGTGCGGTTAGGGTTTGTCAGATCGATATGTCATCCGCGACGATCGTTGAGATGCCGACGACGCATCCGCCGCAGTCGGCTGCTGCTCGCGGGATGGGAGCTAAGGTTAATCAATAAAATACCATGAGTTTGGAGACGATGAGGAGAACTAATGATCGAGGTTAATTCATTTTTTCTTTAATCTTATTCTTTTCCTATGTGACAACGTTAATGTGAATTTGTGTCCCTTTTCCCATTGGGATTGATGGGTGTAGATAATAAAGTGATAACAAATTACTCCAATTCAATTTTTTCTCAATTTCTTCAAACTTTCGTTTCATTCTTTCTTGGATTTTCGCAGAATTGAATTTCATTTTTATTTCTCCATTCCTGCATTCGGCAGTGTTCAGTGTTGGAATTAATATATATTTGGGTGTTTGGAATGGCAGTGGGGTTTCTCACTTGTCATTTAATTTCCAACTACTGTCCAGATTCTGGTTGTGCGGATTACATTGTATTTCTCTGTTTGGATGCAAGGAAAATTAGGATATAAATAAATAAATAAATAAAACATAATCATTCCATTTGCATTCATTAGGATTCTTGTCATTTTGTTCTCATTTGTAACGAACAATAATAATCATACAAATTACGAGGGGAAAAAGAAAAGACAAAAAAAAAAAAAAGAAATGGTTTGATTTCGTTAACTTTGTCCTTCTTCAATACAGTACTATAATTTTATTGGTGAATGATGATGGAAGCATGGTTTGCTTTGCCCACCTCATCTTCAAGATTCTTCTTTGG